TTATATTATAATAATATATTATATTATTAATAATATATATTATATTATATATATTATATTATACCTGTTCTTTATTATCATATATACATACACACGCGAGTAAAAAAAGATACAAAGAGAAGAGAAAGAGAATAAATATTTTTTATATAGATATTTATTGTACAATAATTTTTCAAATAATTACATATTATTGGAATAATCATAATTAAATAAATTTAATATATAGAAGAATAAGAATTTTTTGAATTTATATATATAATAAAAATTTATTTTATTATGTTTTTTATGGATTTTGTTTCTTTGTTCATCATGTATTTGTTATTTATTATATTTCTTGTTTTTGTTCTTTTATTAATTCCTAGAACAACAAATTTTTAAATTAAATTTTTTGCTTCTTCCTTTACATTAATATTAAATTATATATATTTTAAAAACATTACACTTACTGCTTTTATAGTATTTTCATAATCTTCTTCGCAATGTATTAATATTTCATCATGATTATTAAAATATTTAAGATTTTTTTCATCATTTTTTGTATTTCCTATTGAACATTCAATTTCAAAATTTATATTTCGAAGAGATTTCATTTTTAATCTTTGTTCTCTATTTTTAGCTTCCTTTACCTTTTCTCTACGTGTTTCTCTATCAAGAAACTAATTTCAATTATTTGAATATGACACAATTACTATATACAATTATTATGTACATTATATTAATAGAACTTACTGTTGTAAATAAAACTTTATCATTTTTTTGATTAGTTGTTAAAGCTTTTGAAAATTCAAGTAAAAATATTGTTCCTTTTTTATTAGCTATTGCTGCTAATTGTCCTTGTTCATGTGGTTTTATATATGTTAACACTTCATCACAAACCTAATATATATTATATTAATTTTTAAATATAAATAACATTGCTTAATAAATTAAAATGTATTTTTAATCTACAATTGGATGATTTTATTGAATTCTTTGTCTTAAATATAAATTCAAAAAATAAAAAAAAAACAAATAACATAATGCTATTAAATATTTTCTCGATTTGTTTAAATTTAAATTTTTCATTTTGTTTTGATATCTTTTTTGAATTTTTATTTTTTTCTTCAAAAATACTTAGAGAGTCCAACATTATATAAAGAAAAACTTTCATGAAAAACTTTTTATAAACAAAAATTAATACAAACAATTTACAAGAAAGTAAATCTATTCTTTTTTTAATTTTGATGATGAACAAATTACATTATTTTCCAAATTCTAATCGCTGTTTTATATAAATGTATTGCATGTTAATATTTTTTATATTCCAGATTATTTTTACAATCAGTTAGAATTATGAAATTAAATAATTATTAACGTTTTTATTATGTAGAGAATTTTTCTCCATTGTTAAAAATTAAAATAATTATTTTAATATAACATTCAACATTTTTATTTTTATTAAAAAATTTTATATTTTCAAAACAAATGTAATTCTATTTCAAATTTAAATAAATCAAGAAATTCAATTAAAATCATTCATTAGATATTGAAGATCAAAATTTTTATTAAATGATATAATATATTAAAATAAACATGCTTTCACACTAAGAATTGGAGAATCTTGTTGAATTAACAAATCCCATATATCTAATGTTCCATCCATTTTTATCAAAAAAAATACAGAAAATCGTGTTATACTCCAAGCTCCACCCATTAAAAAATCTCTGTGACCACTAAAATATAATTTTAATGGAATAATATTAATAATATTAAAATATAATTCTAATATAATTTGTATTAATTTTAGTTAATATAAAAGATGATTTTTAATATATTTACGGTGTCCAAGCAATGCAAGATTCTTTACAATCTTCAGACCATATTCTTGTTGTCCAATCTCCAACAGTTAAAAAATTTTTAACAAATGTTGGATTTCTTTCTAAACTTATTACAGGTCCATATTGTGCTTTGAATCTTGTTGCAATTTTTTCACTTGAAGTTTTACCTTTGCGATTTCCTGATATTACTATACCTAAATGTAGAATAAATATAAATATTACTATATCTAAGCATATAACAATATATATAACAATATATAAATAAATACATATATGATTATAATATAAGGTGTTTATTTACCATTTTCAAGACCACACATAAAACGTGTACCCATGGATGGTTCAAATTGTAATGCAGAAATTCCAATTGCTTTATTAATATTCTGATCATCAGGTTTGTATAAATCAATTACTAATGTTTCTGTAGGCATTTGTAATTTTCTAATATCCCACCACATTATCTATACAATTAATTTATAAATCATATTTATATTAATTTTTATTTTATTTTGTTATTATACCTGTCCATCTTTTGAAGCACTGAAAAATTCTGTGCCAGTTTTAGAATTTATCCATAAAACTTTATTGCATAAATCTCTATGACTAAATTCCATTAAACTTGTCTCAACTAGTTCTGATCCTTTTCTAATATCCCAACAAGCTACTTGACCAGTCATTAATCCACTAATTAATATATTGCTATCCTTGGGATTGTATTCCAATGTTAGAATTGGACAGAATGGTTTTAAAGTCACACAAGGTATATTTGGATTTTCTATGAATTTAAATTAAATATAAATTTTTTTTTTTATAAATTTTTAATTATAAAAATTAAGTTTTTCAACTTACCTACATCCCAAATATATGATTGAGAATTGTCATTTATTGCATTTTTAAAATCAGTATTACAATAACTAGCTGCAAAACGATTTCCTTGATCTGGTGACCATGAAAGATGTGTTATTTGTCTTTTTATTGGTAAAATATCACGATATACATTAACTGTACGTGAATATACTTGTTGTATCAAAGAAACTGGTTCCATATAATTAAAGTATTGTTCATAAATATTACATACATTATTCTGCGAAATGCATTGTTCCATTGGCTAAAAATGGTAAAATATGTATTGATAAATTTATTAATAATAAAATATTAAGTTAAAAAACAAAAAAAAATTAATTACAGGCAACAATTGAAGCATTGTATGAATATATAATTCATCTTTTTCTATTTTACGTTTATATCTCGTAGCTTGTTCTATATCTTTTGCATTTAAATCTTTTGGCCAACCACCTTCAGAATGACACATACCATTATCTTTAAAAGTTGCAG